TTTTCTAAAACTTTGAGCGAAGATATCTCGATGACCACCTGATAAAATTCGATGAATTTTTTTTTATTTGAATTCTACAGAATCTTAGTATTCAAATAGAAAAATTTTTGTCGAATTTTATCAGGTGGTCACTGAGATAACTTCGCTCAAAGTTTTAAAAAAATTCGGCGCAGCTTTTATTTTGATAGACATTTTGATTTTTCTAAAACTTTGAGCGAAGATATCTCAATGACTACCTGATAATATTCGATGGAAATTTTTTTATTTGAATTCTACAGAATCTTAGAATTCAAATAAATAATTTCATCGAATTTTATCAGGTGGTCATCAAGATATCTTTGCTCAAAGTTTTAGAAAAATCAAAAACGTCTATCAAAATAAAAGCTGCGCCGAATTTTTCTAAAACTTTGAGCAAAGATATCTCAGTGACCGCCTGATAAAATTTTTTTATTTGAATACTAAGATTCTGTAGAATTCAAATAAAAAAAATTTCATAGAATTTTATCAGGTGGTTATCGAGATATCATCGCTCAAAGTTTTAGAAAAATTTGGCGCAGCTTTTATTTTGATAGACGTTTTTGTTTTTCTAAAACTTTGAGCGAAGATATCTCGATGACCACCTGATAAAATTCGATGAATATTTTTTATTTGAATTCTACAGAATCTTAGTATTCAAATAAAAAAATTTTTGTCGAATTTTAACAGGTGGGTACTGAGATATCTTCGCTCAAAGTTTTAGAAAAATTCGGCGCAGCTTTTATTTTGATAGACGTTTTTGATTTTTCTAAAACTTTGAGCGAAGATTTCTCGATGACCACCTGATAAAATTCGATGAAAATTTTTTTATTTGAATTCTAAGATTCTATAGAATTCAGAAAAATAAATTTCATTTGATTTGACTAGGTAGGTATAGAGAAATATTCTCTCAAAGTTTTAAAATTATTTATTTTTACTTAGTAAAATGATTTATCAATTTTGTCCAATAAGAGATTGGAAGATCATCATCCAATCAAACGTTGGGGGTAAATTAGTAAAACCGGACAACACTGCACTAATGTTTATATAAACGGAACTCGAAAAAATATTTTCATAAGTAGTAAAGAGAAAGCACTCTTTTTTTTGGCATTTCATATAACCTACCGTCAACCCATATGGTAAGATCCGTCATAATATCTGTATTAAATTGAAATATATGTATATTTTTTTTAAAAAACATCGTTTTTTTACAATAGGATTTCAATGACTTCGAATATTCTATAATTCAACAACAAAAGTCCCACCAATCTACAATATTAATACAATTTCGTTTTTTTTATATGAATTGAGTTGAAAATTAATTTTTTTTTTAAAAAAAAAAGTGAATCTAGGATTGTCCTATGAAATTATTTTCCTGATTTTGACATTTTATGAGCGATTGCTTTAGGTTTATTATTGGAGAACAGAAATTTAAACAGGATTTCGACAAACCATGCGCCAAGAAAGTCAAAAAGCATAGTAGCAGTAAGATGAAGTTTGAACTATTGGAAAGGAAAACAGCCTATTAAGATTTATCTTTCAAATTTATATAAAGAAATCTAGATATAAGAAAAATCGCAAAAAATACCTCATATTTAAGAGGAACCAATTGCAACATAGAATTCATTTCGGGAACTTCAATTAAAAATTTTAGGTTAATTTTAAATTAAGATGTTTAAAGCAAATTATAAAAAAGTTAAACTTACTAAATTCAGTGGCACCCGACAGGGCAATTGCGCCTACAGATAGTAAACCATAATACAATGTGGTATTTTCTTTCAGACTTTCTCTGAAAGGGTGTCCCTAGTTATTTTGAATATAATAAAATTGCGATTCGTAAGCAAGCACTAATAATTACTGTATAGTTTTAAACATTTGGTGAACAACCACCATACCTGATAATTAATGGCAAACGTGGAGACTTGCATGGATAGCGATATTAAATATACCGCCGTGTTTAATAAACTTGGTTCAAAATCACCTTCAAGATCGACAGTCTTCTTCCTATATAGTAAACAAAATCAAAAATTTGCAATTATTCAGTATTACCATTTTAAATCCATTATTTTATACATACTCTTCATATTTAAATACTAATTCTACTATGTAAACAAGAGATGCTATGTGAATAGCGAATTGACAGAGAATAGATAGAATAATATAAAAATTGAAAACGTTTGTTTGTGGCCGTTGCTTGGAAAGTTTTTCTAATGGCTGAAAAATTGGTTGGATAAGAAATTAAAATGATGCCACGAATCATAATGTACGTTTAAATATCTTAAATAAATAAATAAATTACCTTAGCTTTCGAAATACAAAGGAAACAAACGGCAAGTAACATGCCAGAAATAGTAACTTGTCTAAAATGTCGTTAGAAATTAAATATCTAAGTCATAAAATAAAATGCTTTACAAACTTGCTTGAATTATGTAAAATAAAACTTACAAATCGCCATATTTAATTCCTTCCAAATATAAAACGCTTAAACTATATGCAGAAATTAAACAATTTAAAGCCAAAATTTTGTACATCTGGATAGTGGCAACCAATGTACAACGACCCTGACGGACAATGTTTGCAACTGTCAGAAAAAAAATTGGTTAACAGATAACGAGCATAGTTCTGATCATATAATCACAAACAAGGCTAAGAACACTTACTTGCTACCACATTGGAAAGTTTAGATGTAAAAGGTGCAGCTACTGATGCGTCTCCTAACTTAATTGTTGGTGGTTCATCATCAAAATCTTGTAAAAGATTTTCCGCAAGTTGATCCATCTTTAGAAGAGTGAAATAAAAATTAAAATTATTTACGAATTAAAAATAATTTTCAAATTAAGAACAAGACACCAAACCTGAGGTGGTTGTCGTCTTTGACCTTGTCCTGCAGTATTTTGTTGCTGAAGTTGTTGTGTAATATGTGGGAATAAATGCGCAATTGCTGGGGGTGGGGGTGGGGGTGGCATGTTGAATCGTGAAGTAAACTTTAATTGACTTTCATATACATCTTTAAGTCGTTGTATTTTTTGATGTTCAGCAATTTTCTTAAGATCTTCAGGCTTGCCGTCAAGAAGCGCAACTCCAACATGAGCCTGTTTAAGAGCACCAACATCGTTTGTTCCGTCGCCACACATTAATGTAATATATCCAGCTTGCTTAAGGGTAGTTAATATGAGTTCCTGACGTAAATATATCATAAATATATCATAAACGTTATCCTTTGAATATCTCCTTTGAATATTAAAATAATATTTAATATACCTTTTGTCCCGGAGAAACACGTGCATAAACCCACGTATGGACTAATAACTTTTTAACAGATGGTTTGTTTTCATAACATGCCAACGCTGCACCCGTTATGCATAGGTCGTAGTCACGATAGACCGATATATCAATTGGTTCTTCAGGATTGACGGGTATAATGATTTTTTCATCAACTGATTTCCAAACAAGATCTTATGCAATAATTGTTAGTAAATGGTAGCAAAAATAAATAATATATTTGGTTATAAATAAAGATACCATCACTATTCTTGGCATCTTCGCGTAGATCAAGAATTAATACATCGCGTTCGATAATTTTCACTTCACGTGCTACATGACACGCTGTTAATGGATTATCTCCGGTGATCATAACAACCTATAGAATTATTTTTAAGCCAGAATAATTATCAATTAACTAAAATCTCAAAAGTACATAGTATAATATAAATAGGATATACCCTATGAGAAGACTCATTTAGCATCTGAAGAGTAGATACGGCATCTTCTTTTAGCGGACAATGAAAAATAAGAAATCCTGCAAACGCTAGCTCACTTTCAACAGATTCTCGTGTTAATTCATTAATCTATTGGAAATTAGTTGTTAAAAAATAATAATCAAACAAAATAAATTTTTTTAGTGGAATTGTTACCATACCTCATCAATATTCATATTATCTTTTAAATACTTGTATCCTAAAGCTAAAACACGACTTCCTCTACGCATAAAAAACTTGAAGGTTTCCTCATAATCATCAGGTACATAACTGTACATATTTCGTAAGGTTTCAGGTGCGCCCTTAACTGCAACGAAAGTTCTTTTAGACCGAGGTGTTGTAACCGTCGAGACACTTGACATACGTTTGAGTGCGGATGAAAATTGGAATCTGCGGCGAATTTGTAGTTGTGACCGTTGTTGGAAACGTTGTGATTGTTGATTCGCAGGAATGACAGTATCACCTTTGAACATTAAAGACAAACTTAATGAAACAATAGTCATATATAAAAAAAGGGAATAAGAGTATGAAATGAACAAACCTTTGCCAAGTTTCCAATCTAACGCTTCCAATGTGGCCTTTTCCATGGGGTCACCGACGATACCATCATCTAATTGAACTAAAGCATGTGCGGCAGCCAAGGTTTGGATTGATTCCCGTAAAGCATCCGGTGGTTTTACCAAAATTTTTGAATCTTCGGGACTTTACATTATAATTACGAATTGGTATAAAATTTGTTAGGAAACCTTAAGAAAATATGTATAAATCAGCGTTCGAACAACTTACTGTATTCCAGCAATTCCTTCAACTTCAAGATTTTCGCCAGTTAAGGTGCCAGTTTTGTCGAATGCACAAACATCAATTTTTCCAGCAAAAGGAATCCTGAATGGTTCAGTGCAATAAATAGCTAAATATTTATGTACCATGTCAAATTAAATGTATCTTTTCTGTTTGTTGCGATCATCTTTCTAAGGACTTCATGTCTCACCAAATTTAGCCAATGCAACCAGCGAGGTGTTAACCGCCAAAGAAAGTTCCATGGGCAATTCCGGTGGTACAACCGATGTAATAATTAAAATACAATCGAGCAAGAGCTTTGACCTCTTACGATCATTTTCAATACCTATTGATGTTTATTATTAACAGTTAAGAATAGAACACCTTCTCCAAGTAAGGAAGTATTTTTTTTCACGATAATGAAATTGCTTGCCTTTAACCCAAACATATCCAGCCGCAGAAATTGCGAAAATCAATAAGAATAAGATAAACAAGAAGGATTCTAAATTGTTTGCTGACACATGCTCAGTACTATACACCATTGTACGCACGAGTTTCCCCTGCGCAGTTCCAAATCCGGTGCGAATAACATAGGCAATACATCCATTATCTGGAGCTGAAAATGTTATAATCATATAATTAGATCATATTAAATATATTTAAAAATGGTAATTAATTTAGAACTTACCAGAAAGAATATCTTGTTGCTGTTGCTGTTGAGGAGGAGTTACTTGTAGGACTTTTGTACCACCAAACAAAGCGCTATTTTTGTCAATACCACTCATATCAAATTCATCATTGCCATCACGAAGAGCAATTGATTCCTAAATTATAATTACGCGTTTTGTATGAGCGGCACAAAAGAATATAATTAAATAATACAAATTATATCTAATTCTCAAATTATATATTAACATCAACAATTTACTGATGCATATATAATAATCTTCACAATCCATATTTGTAATAAGGGTATTGTTAAACAAACCTTTAATAGTGGCGTCGATTCACCAGACAGCATCGCCTCATTTACAATGCAAGAACCTTGTAAAAGTATCATATCACAAGGAACACCACTATCTTCCTTGGAACGAACTTCGCGAACATATTGGAATAAATGTATGAGAAGTAATACAAATAAGGACAATATAATCAATTCTGATATTTATATACCGATAGATGCTAAATCCCCTGGTAAAAGCTGGTCAGAATCGACAAGAGTCCAGCGGCGATTTCTTCTAACATGAATCTGGTATGGCTTGATTGACATTGTACGAAACTCGGACAAAGTTTTCAATCTCTAAAGAATTAAGATTGTTTTGGGCAAGTTTCATTAGTATCTGCAAGAAAAAAATTAGGCCTATAAATTTAATGATATAATACCTGAAAGACGACAGTAGATTCGAACACGACAAGCATGAATAGTGTAAATACCGAATAGTACCAATATTCGTCGATAACCCATAATCCAACACAAAATAATTGAAAAACGAAGAATGGCGCAACGGCATGTTCTTTGAATAATTCAGGAAAGGTTGGCACTGGAATATCGAACCTAAAAATTAAGAAACCTTAATTATAAATAAATTTAAGATACTTTGGCGAAATGAACTATCCATACCTATTATATCCATATTTCTCATGAGTCATTTTAATTTCGTTTTGAGTTTCGAGACCTTTGGCATTTTGAAATGTTGAAATATTAGAGTATATGTCACTTGGGTAAAGTAGTTTTGTAAATTTCTTTTTATTCTCGTCCCATATGTATTTTTTCTTTTGATAAAAAAAAGATATTTCTCCATTCTAAATAAAAACACTAAATGTTAACATCTGCATCTGCCCTTCATAAATTAATGCGATATTTGTCTGAACCTACTTTTCCGTGGTATAGGTCACATAGTTCACCTTTTCCTTTATGTTGGGCAGGAATTATCTTGATGACTTTAGCTTTTCTAATATCATTTTGCTTGGAAATAGTTGCATAACATTTTAAATCCGAAACTTATTAAGTATTAAAATAAATAAAAATCGAAATGGTTTCCTACTTTTTTGCAAGTAAAAAAGGCTTTTGCACTAACACTCCATTGACAGCTCAAAAATATTAATGCATTTATTGTGATTAAACTTCCGAGAGTTAAGAATGTCCATTCTTCAGACACGATGAATTCATCATATTTATATACATATATATACGACCACGCAATATAAAGACATACAAAAGGCCATACATAAAAATGCCACCTTAGTGGATTTCGTATGTGTAATGAAGATTTTCTTATTGACTTCGCATCTACAATGTTAACAGGCGCCCTATACAATAATGAATGATACCTTTTAAACAAAAGGAAAAAAAAAACTTGAAGTATAAACCATCGCTTACATTGTATATACTTTGAATTTGACTTCGATCAGACAACACCGGGAAAGAATTAGATAAATAAATTGGAACTTGGTTAGTAAACATTATCGATTTATATATAAGCCTTACAGCAGCCCCAAGCATTTAGATGAGATCGCCGTAACACTGGGTGACGCGCTTGATTCCGTGTACTAATCAAGCCATAGTAAACGTCACGAAATTAATCCTTATATATTAAAAATCTTTAACTTACTAATTTTTTATCAATCTAGCAGCTTTCTTCGCTGAATTTACCACAGTATTAAGAGAATTGAATGTTTTTTTTCCTAATTATGACGTTTCACATGCATTTTCAAATTAAAATTGCCTATTGGTCAAACGATATGTCTGATTAACCTAACCCTGGCCGTTGGGATATGTAGTTTTATATAATTTAGAAATAGCATACATAGTCAAGCCACCCTGGGATTCATTTTTATTGGCTATCGAAAATTAATATCTGCGTAGCAGCACATGAGAAACGTTAATCCAATAATCTTTTAGACTTGGCGTGATTGCACAAACGATTACGCATCTCGTGATAAAAGAACACCTGGAAAATGTGTACCATGGTGAGATCGGGAAAGTTAGGTAGGAACAACATGAACATTCGGAACTATAAACAAAAATTACTAGTTGACTAGCTAGTGATTTTCCTATTACCCACTGGAACTTATGTTATTAATTTGTATAAATTTTATTGGCTAAAAAGATAAATCATTAATCTATTGACTAAGGGTAACGAAATTAATAGGTCGAAGCTGGTTTTATATCAAAATCCGACAGCTTGATACCGACTCAAAGGAAGAAATTCGTCTGATTGCTAGTGTAGATCAATTGCCCGGGTAGTAAACTCCTGGAGAACTTTACTTAGAAGACAAGTTTATTCGCTTTTTATTGGGCTATACCAAATTATACCGTAGAATAAGGAAATCAGAAACGTTTTTGTTTGAAACTACCTAAGCACGTTAAATAAACTTTTTTATTACTAACTACTAGTTGTAAACCCGTGCAATAATGCACGGGAATAAACTTATAAAATTTTTAAATATAATTTTTTTTTTTTTTTTTTTGGTATTAAGGTGACCTCTTTGGCCGGGGAACGTTTTATCAGATAGTTTTATTTTTCAATTACAGTAAGGGTACATATAGCCACATGTGCACCTTTTGAGTGCCTAATTTAAGTAGTCCGCCCGAAGGTTCTACACTATCTGCCGTACCTGCACCCCAACTAGGGGGGTACCCATTTTAAACCCTCTGACCGTAACCTACTTCCAAACCAATGGATACTATCTAACCTGAGGTGTAGTTTACTATACACAGGTAGTTCACTATTGCCTAATCCGATTTTGCACCTACCTTAGGACTTACTAACCCCAATGAGGCTAATTTATCCATGAGGTAAACCTAACAGAGTGGTCTATGTCCCACACATGTATTCACCTGCATGTTTGGTAATTTCTTCCCAATTAGTACATACTGTTTGCTGCCATTGTGTTCGTATCTCATGCCACTTTTTGGGGTGTTGCCATAACACAATCCGTATCTCAAGCACAATCTTTCTAATTAGTTTTCCATTATGTACTCTGCTCTTGTATGGTTCATAACAACCTCAATACTAACACTTTAACCATCTTCTTACCCAGATTCTTTATTGGTTCCTCTCTTACTTCCAGCCAGCAACTCTGATGGGTTGGTCTGTCTAGGCTTCAAGTGCCTGAAGAACACCCTCACCTTGGTCCATACTTTCAAAGTATATGACCTTTTCCTCCGGTGCATCTAAACCGGCGGTTTGGCTAGTATGTCTCCCACTAAAGGACCTGGTTGCTCAGTTCTCTAATCTCGGGCCCCAGTTTGAATTCAGCCTTCATATAGTACCATCGAAGATCACTGCTACCTCCACAACTCAAAACTTCCCAAATAGGCTTCCTGTATGATAAAGGTGATCTCCAAGATTTACACAATCATGAACTTATTAAGTGTTTACACTGCCCTAAGCTGGTTTACATTCCTTTGTAGTTCCTGGGTTTCCCCAGTTGTACAAATACCAGCAGATCTTCCAGGATTACTCCCTAGTACAACTCGAGTTACAGATTCTCAATCCAAGATCTAATCATAATATACAAGTTATTGTAATACAGGTTTATTTTTCAAAATTGCCATTTATAGGATTTGAACTCTGCCACTTGAAAAAGGTGATGACTAAACTACTTCACTAAGCCACCACACCTATTTTTAAATATAATTTTAAAATAAAATAAAATAATAGTAAAACTTTTATAATTATTAGGCTATAAACCTGTGCGATGTACAGAAAAGATTTAATATAAAAATAAAATAAAAATTTAAATCTAAAGCAAATTAATTTAAATAATTTTATCTCTAATATTGATTATAATTTGGTTTTTTTTTTTTTTTTTTTTTTTTTTTTAGCAATCATGCTACATATCCATGCTTTATTGATCATTAATTAAATCTGAAAAAAAAAGAATATATTTAAAGATACGGACAGGTATATAACTCACCCGGTTACTTAAATAGAATACCTAAATATTCATGCACCTGTGTGCAACCTGCCAAAAATGATTTTAATCTTCCCAGTTTGGTTCAACCTACATCAAGCCGACCCACCCCAGTTCACCGACCTGGTTCATCAGCCCATCATGACCACCTTTTTTTCCAACCTTCTTCTCCTAGCCTTCTAAATAAAAAAATTCTATCAAAGAACAATAGGAAATTTATGAAATAAAAAGGAATAGTAAAAAAAAGAAGAAATCTAAACTAAACAAACAAAAAACAAACAAAAGAAAAAAAGAAAAAAGAAGAAAAAGGCTGAAAAAAAGAACGGCCATGATGGTACTATTTTTGCCTGTGCAAGGCTACATAAATTATATAATATTGTATAGAATAAAATCTAACCTAACACTATATGTAATAATAGAAATGGAAAAGAAAATAAAAGAAAATGTCTAACATTAAGAAATTTTTATACGTGATTCCTTCGATCCCCTATACTGTAAACAGTACCGCCATCATTGTTTATTTGGCAAAGCATAATCCAAATAAGCTCATAGGAGGTTCTATTTCGGTAGACGTGTTCTAATTTGGAAGGAGTAAACACTGCCAATCTTTTGGAGAGGGTATGCCGGTTTTCCTACTTTTTAGCCAAAATTTCAAAAAAAATTTCAAAATAGCGAAAATATGGTAAAAGGTCTTCGGTTGCAGATACTTTTAAAACTTCTAAAGAGTGTGTTGAAATCTAAAACTTTTGTTGTTTCTCCTGTGTTCTTCTTTGAAATAACAGCCTAGGGCTTCATTAACGAAGTAGCAGCCTACTATGTAACTTACTCCCTTTACCAAGATTTTTTATACAAGGGTACTAGGGTGGCAAGCCCTTGCTAGTTATTTTGTATAATAACACTCCTGGCTTGCATGTCGAACGTCCTTTTAGAGGAGTTCCCCAATAGGTAAAGGTTGACTTCTAAACAAACCACACCATAGAGCCACGTCTCTCTAACAAAAGTTTTATTTTCCATTAGTTGAAATTTTGGTATGAGTGATCGTTGGGGATTATAATTTGGTTTTGTTTAATTTTAATTTAATTTATTAAATTAAAAATTTATTTTTTTTTAAATATTTTAGAATATAGTAATTAGAATTAAATAAACTCTTTTTTATTGGATTTGTCTTACTAAAAGCTTTTATTTAAAAAAAAATTCATTCAGATTAAACTGCTAGTTGCCAAGATAATTACAAAAAACTGCTTTTTGTATATTTTGAATCCAAAGTAGATTACATTGAGCCCAAAGTAGAATCTGGTTATGTTTTTTTAAGTTTATACAATAAGTTATTAAGTAAAGATATCTTTAAGATCTAAGTAAAGGTAATTAGATTATCAAAATCAAACCAGTAGTTATTGAGATATATGAGATTAAAAATCTAAACATAAGAATTAACAAATTTGTTGTTACACAAAATTCAATATTTTGTATAATAGTGACTTTGCCAATTTTTATGTTCGCATATTTAATCCAAGATATCTCAAGAACCACTGGGCCAATTTTGATGATCTAATTACCATTTGACTTAGAATTATCTTTACTTAATAACTTCTTGTATAATTTAAAGAATTTATTAACAAATCAGAATAACAGATTTAATATTACACAATTTAAGTAAATTATTTATATTAGTAATCTAAATGTTTATTATCATACACACATTTTTTTAGTATATATATAAAAAATATTATACTATAACAAATTGTGTGACTGTTATATATTTTATATATATATATATATATTTTTTTAAATCTTTGACAGTCTTGCCAGTACTCAATTTATTGCAACTATATTTAGATGAGAGCTGAGCTTTCTCAAACAATACATGTATCATTCATAACTACAAACAGGGAGTTATCGCGATAGCGAGTCTGACATCATCTAGCTGCAATAAACGTGTCCATATGTGACTTGTCGCACCAACCTGTATACAAGTTAGATAAACTTTGTCAGCCCGTCAAAGCTTTTTCTTTCATATCTCCTTTCTTTACTAAGAGCAAAAGAAAGTGATAATCTTATACAAAACCACCAATACTACCACGAAAACAAAACGAAAACCTAACTAAAAACAAACATATAGAACGAAGGGGTATTTTAAAGGAAAGAAAAGAAGAATATAGTGAGAT